GTGGCACAGTGGTTAAAGCAATGCTAACCGAAATGTTGACAGTTCGAAACCACCAGTGGCTCCAAGGGAAATAGATGTGGCAGTCTGCTCCCGCTGAGGTTTACAGCCATGGAAACACTATGGGATTGCTATGAGTCGGAATCGACTGGAGGGCAGTGGGTTTGGGCGTTTGGTATGCGTGTGCCTGTAACCTACTGTTATTTGTGATGGTTTTGTGACCATATCGACCTAGATAGTTGAATGACTGAGAAACTCTCTTTGTATGACCATGTCTAGTTAGGTATGTGAAATCTGATTATCTGAACATTGACCAATAAGTGTGCCTCCAAACTTGTGACTCAATAGCAATTTAGCAAATAAAATAGAAGTGTAAGTACTGGAAAGGAAGAGGTAAGATTTTCATAATTTCCAGATGGTTAGGTTATCTGGAAACACCATATGAACTAAAACCAGTGTGTTGAAATGAAGAGTGCTCCATGGGTATAGCAGGAAGAGAAAAAAAAAACTATTTTTACCCATAACTACCACTTTCAACACTTTATATGAGTAAGCTTTCCTGCTCCTGGATGAAATCTATAACCAGGTCAGTAGCTTCTTCCAGCATTCTAAGATAATAAAAAGTATTTGGAACACTTTTAATCACAAGGCGGGTCTCATTTTAGTAATTAAAATATTATTTTACTAGTTAAAATATTCACTGTAGAAGTCAGTACTTCAAACTTCATTTAGCAAAATATTATCATGTCTAGATGCGTGCAGAGTGAACAGAGTGCCTGATCATTTTCTTTTCTATCTCCACTACCTGGACTACTAAAGGTACCCTAGTGGTGGAGTGGTTAAGAGTTACAGCTGCTAACCAAAAAGTCAGCAGTTTGAATCCACCAACTGCTCCTTGAAAACCTTATAGGGCAGTTCTACTCTGTCCTGTAGGGTCACTATGAGTCGTAATCGACTCAACGGCAACGGGTTTGGTTTTGGTTTGGACTGCTAAAAAGGAGCCCTAGTGGCGCAGTGCTTAAAGCACTGGCTGCTAACTGAAAGGTCAGTGGTTGGAACCCGCCAGCCACTCCTCAGGAGAAAGATGTGGCAGTCTGCTTCCATACAGATTTACAGCCTTGGAGACACCGTGGGGGCAGTTCTACTCAGTCATGTAGGGTCACTGTGAGTT